GTGTGTGTGTGTGTTGTGTGTGTGTGTGTGTGTGTGTGTGTGTGTGTGTGTGTGTGTGTGTGTGTGTGTGTGTGTGTGTGTGTGTGTGTGTGTGTGTGTGTGTGTGTGTGTGTGTGTGTGTGTGTGTGTGTGTTGTGTGTGTGTGTGTGTGTGTGTGTGTGTGTGTGTGTGTGTGTGTGTGTGTGTGTGTGTGTGTGTGTGTGGTGTGTGTGTGTGTGTGTGTGTGTGTGTGTGTGTGTGTGTGTGTGTGTGTGTGTGTGTGTGTGTGTGTGTGTGTGTGTGTGTGTGTGTGTGTGTGTGTGTGTGTGTGTGTGTGTGTGTGTGTGTGTGTGTGTGTGTGTGTGTGTGTGTGTGTGTGTGTGTGTGTGTGTGTGTGTGTGTGTGTGTGTGTGTGTGTGTGTGTGTGTGTGTGTGTGTGTGTGTGTGTGTGTGTTGTGTGTGTGTGTGTGTGTGTGTGTTAGACTCACTGGGCAGGTTTGCTTCCAGATCTGCCACTTCTGCAGAGACACAGACGAGGATCAAGTTCAGATTTATGCACAAAACACTGAAATCCAAAACCCCAGGGTCAAGTAGACGAGTCCAGACCAACAGTTCAAGTCCTGGTTTAGTCCTGGTTTAGTCCTGGTTTAGTCCTGGTTTAGTCCTGGTTTAGTCCTGGTTTAGACCTGGTTTAGACCTGGTTTAGACCTGGTTTAGTCCTGGTTTAGTCCTGGTTTAGTCCTGGTTTAGACCTGGTTAATGAAACAGTAGTAGCAGCAGTAGTATTTGCAGTATTTGTAGTAGTACTTGTAGTACTCGCAGTACTTGTAGTTATACTTGTAGTAGTAGTAGTAGTAGTAATATTTGTAGTAGTACTTGTAGTACTTGTAGTAGTACTTGTAGTAGTAGTAGTATTTCTAGTAGTACTTGTAGTAGTACTTGTAGTAGTACTTGTAGTAGTACTTGTAGTACTTGTAGTACTTGTAGTAGTACTTGTAGTAGTAGTAGTAGTTGTACCTTTGGTGAGGAGTCGGTCTCTCACAGAGACTCTGTGGCTCGACTCTGTGTTGTGTTTCCCGCCGTCGTCTTTCCTGATTTTATGTAACGTCAACATCCTGAACAACTCTGAAAAAAACAACACCACAGCAGTTAACTCCACGAAAAAAAACTCTAAAAACACCACCACAGCAGTTAACTCCACGAAAAAAACTCTAAAAAACAACACCACAGCAGTTAACTCCACGAAAAAAAACTCTAAAAACAACACCACAGCAGTTAACTCCACGAAAAAAACTCTAAAAAACAACACCACAGCAGTTAACTCCACAAAAAAAACTCTAAAAACAACACCACAGCAGTTAACTCCACGAAAAAAACTCTAAAAAAAACACCACAGCAGTTAACTCCACAAAAAAACTCTAAAAACAACACCACAGCAGTTAACGCCACAAAAAAACTCTAAAAACAACACAGCAGTTAACTCCACGAAAAAAACTCTAAAAAAACAACACAGCAGTTAACTCCACAAAAAAACTCTAAAAAAACACCACAGCAGTTAACTCCACGAAAAAAACTCTAAAAACAACACCACAGCAGTTAACTCCACGAAAAAAACTCTAAAAAACACCACAGCAGTTAACTCCACGAAAATAACTCTGAAAAAACAACACCACTGCAGTTAACTCCACGAAAATAACTAAAAACAACACCACAGCAGTTAACTCCACGAAAAAACTCTAAAAACAACACCACAGCAGTTAACTCCACGAAAATAACTATGAAAAAACAACACCACTGCAGTTAACTCCACGAAAATAACTAAAAAAACAACACAGCAGTTAACTCCACAAAAAAACCCTAAAAACAACACCACAGCAGTTAACTCCACAAAAAAAATCTAAAAACAACACCACAGCAGTTAACTCCACAAAAAAACTCTAAAAACACCACAGCAGTTAACTCCACGAAAATAACTCTGAAAAAACAACACCACTGCAGTTAACTCCACGAAAATAACTCTGAAAAAACAACACCACAGCAGTTAACTCCACGAAAAAAACTCTAAAAACAACACCACAGCAGTTAACTCCACAAAAAAAATCTAAAAACAACACCACAGCAGTTAACTCCACAAAAAAACTCTAAAAACAACACACAGCAGTTAACTCCACGAAAATAACTCTGAAAAAACAACACCACAGCAGTTAACTCCACAAAAAAACTCTAAAAACACCACAGCAGTTAACTCCACGAAAATAACTCTAAAAAAACAACACCACAGCAGTTAACTCCACAAAAATAAATCTAAAAACAAAAACACTGACTCAGTTTAGTTTAGACCTGGTTTGGTCCTGGACCCGGTTTAGTCCTGGACCTGGTTTGGTTCGCACATGTGAGTTTTTCTCTCAGACTGAAAACACTCTGTTCCACCTCGTGATGTCATCATGTGGTGACACAGGAAGTGCTCCACTGTGTTTTTAAACTCCACACTTCACTAGAATCATCCAGATCATGAAAGGGAAGAGGAGCTGTTCACTTGATGACATCACGAGGTGGAGCAGAGTGTTTGGAGTTTTACAGAGTCACTCAAACACGTGAATGAAACTTCAACGAGGAACCAGGACTAAACCAGGTCTAAACCAGCACTAAACCAGGACTAAACCAGGACTAAACCAGGTCTAAACCAGGTCTAAACCAGGACTAAACCAGGACTAAACCAGGACTAAACCAGGTCTAAACCAGGACTAAACCAGGACTAAACCAGGTCTAAACCAGGTCTAAACCAGGTCTAAACCAGGACTAAACCAGGACTAAACCAGGACTAAACCAGGTCTAAAGCAGGAACTAAACCAGGACTAAACCAGGACTAAACCAGGTCTAGAGACTCGTGGATAAAAACAAACATGTGATCAAATCGTTTCATGTCCTTCAACACTGAACCAGTTCAGGTTTAGATTTTGAGTCAGGAGGTTTAGTCCTGGTTTAGTCCTGGTTTAGTCCTGGTTTAGTCCTGGTTTAGTCCTGGTTTAGTCCTGGTTTAGTCCAGTTTAGTGGCAGTGACGTGTCAGATCTGGTTTATGGCGAGCCTGGTTTGGTTTTCACTTTGAGTCAGAGCCAGAACATGACGCTGATGATCCTCAGACCTGGACCTGAGGTTTAAACACTGACCCGGTGGACCTGATGTTTAAACACTGACCCGGTGGACCTGAGGTTTAAACACTGACCCGGTGGACCTGAGCTTTAGACGCACTGACCCGGTGGACCTGAGGCGCGGGCAAGGGGCACAGGTGGCCCCGCGGGTTCTGGAAGCTTCTGAGCTACAAACCCGCGTGAAAAAAAACCCGCCCGAACCCGCGGGACGAACGCGGCCGGTCCGGTCCAGACAACGCGGGTCGAGTCTGGAGCGGAGCCGCGTCCCGGAGCCGCGTCCCCGAGCCGCGTCCGGAGCCGCGTCCCGGAGCCGCGTCCCGGAGCCGCGTCCCGGAGCCGCGTCCCGGAGCCGCGTCCCCGGGCTGGACGCGCTGCGGACGGCGGTACCTGCGCGGGGTCAGAGCCGGCGGTCTCACACCATACTCGGGCAGCTCGGGCCGGGCCTCTCCGCTCCTCCAGAACCCTCCAGAATCCTCCAGAAGCCTCCAGAAGTCTCCAGAACCCTCCAGAAGCCTCCAGAACCCCCGAGGCTCCGCGACGGTTCCGAAGATCCAAAACAAACGCTCCGGAAAGTGTCAAAGTGTCCGGAAGAGACGAGCGCTGCACGAACGGAGGCGGAAGAGGGAGCGGCTGCGGCGGGGGGACCGGGCGGAAACACGGACACGAAAACGGTTCCGTCCCGAAACAGCTGAGTTTTATTTTGATTTAAAACTCCGACACTGAACGGAGTCTCTCTGCTCCCGGGGTTTTGTTTCATTCACACGTGTTTGAGTTACTCTTTATTATTACTCTGAATGTATCTCCAAAGCTCCAAACGCTCTGCTCCACCTTGTGACGTCATCAAGTGAACAGCTCCTTTTACTTTTAGTTCAGTAAAGATCAACAACCCCTGGAGCCATGGTTTAGTCCTTTTCAGTTCAGTTTCAGTCTTGTTTTAGACCTGGTTTAGTCCTGGTTTATTCCTGGTTTAGTCCTGGTTTAGTTCTCGTTTAGTCCTGGTTTAGTCCTGGTTTAGTCTTGGTTTAGTCCTGGTTTAAACCGAGTTTAGTCCTGGTTTAGACCTGGTTTAGTCCTGGTTTAGTTTGGGTTTAGACCTGGTTTAGTCCTGGTTTAGACCTGGTTTAGTTTGGGTTTAGACCTGGTTTAGTCCTGGTTTAGACCTGGTTTAGTTTGGGTTTAGACCTGGTTTAGTCCTGGTTTAGTCTGGGTTTAGACCTGGTTTAGTTTGGGTTTAGACCTGGTTTAGTCCTGGTTTAGACCTGGTTTAGTCCTGGTTTAGTCTTGGTTTAGTCCTGGTTTAAACCAAGTTTAGTCCTGGTTTAGTTTGGGTTTAGACCTGATTTAGTCCTGGTTTAGTCTTGGTTTAGTCCTGGTTTAAACCAAGTTTAGTCCTGGTTTAGTTTGGGTTTAGACCTGGTTTAGTCCTGGTTTAGTCTTGGTTTAGTCCTGGTTTAAACCAAGTTTAGTCCTGGTTTAGTCCTGGTTTAGTTTGGGTTTAGACCTGATTTAGTCCTGGTTTAGAGCTGGTTTAGTCCTGGTTGAGTCCTGGTTTAGTCCTGGTTTAGTTTGGGTTTAGACCTGGTTTAGTCCTGGTTTAGACCTGGTTTAGTTTGGGTTTAGTCCTGGTTTAGACCTGGTTTAGTCTGGGTTTAGACCTGGTTTAGTTTGGGTTTAGACCTGGTTTAGTCCTGGTTTAGTCTTGGTTTAGTCCTGGTTTAAACCAGGTTTAGTCCTGGTTTAGTCCTGGTTTAGTTTGGGTTTAGACCTGATTTAGTCCTGGTTTAGACCTGGTTTAGTCCTGGTTGAGTCCTGGTTTAGTCCTGGTTTAGTCCTTGTTGTTGTCTTTTTTTCCTCTTGTTAAAAGTTGAGAGTAAATTCTTAGTTTTTGTGTAAAAAGTATTAAATATCAAATTTCTGTTTAAAACAGAAAAACAGAGTTTAAAAACACAGTGGAGCTCTTCCTGTATTACCACATGATGACATCACAAGGTGGAAGAGAGTGTTTGTTTTCAGCAGAGAGAGAGAGAGAGAGAGAGAGAGAGATCTTTTATTGATCTGGAGGGAAAGTCTGTTTTTTCTGCAGTGATATTTATTTCCCTGAGCGTCTCAGTTTCACCGAAAAAACGAATCACAGAAACTCAGAGGAAGAACAAGACGCTCTGTGTTAAATGTGATGATTATAAATGTGATGATTATAAATGTGATTATTATAAATGTGATTATTATAAATGTGATTATATTAAATGTGATGATTATAAATGTGATTATTATAAATGTGATTATTATAAATGTGATTATATTAAATGTGATTATATTAAATGTGATTATTATAAATGTGATTATTATAAATGTGATTATTATAAATGTGATTATATTAAATGTGATTATTATAAATGTGATTATATATAAATGTGATTATATTAAATGTGATTATATTAAATGTGATTATTATAAATGTGATTATTATAAATGTGATTATTATAAATGTGATATATTAAATGTGATTATATTAAATGTGATTATATTAAATGTGATTATTATAATGTGATTATATAAATATAATATGTGATTATTATTAAATGTGATGATTATGATTATATTAAATGTGATTATTATAAATGTGATTATATTAAATGTGATTATATTAAATGTGATTATTATAAATGTGATTATATTAAATGTGATTATTATAAATGTGATTATATTAAATGTGATCATATTAAATGTGATTATTATAAATGTGATTATATTAAATGTGATTGGCTGTAGAGTGGAGGTGTTGTCTGAAATGACCCATTTAAGGTTTTATGTTTCAAATATCTGTAAAAGCGAAGAGCCTGAAACAAAACTGAAATATAAAAGTGTATTTTAATCTTGAGTAAAAAAGAAATAACCTGATAGAGCTCAAAAGAAGAACTTAAAAATTTTATCCAGAAATCTTCAGTTTAAAAGTTATTCAGCTGTTTTAGACTTTAAAGTTGTCGCTCTTCTGTCTGGAATGTTCCACAGTGTGACTTTAAACAGCTCAACTTCACATTTATTCAATCACAGGTTTTTTGGCTCAGAAATACAGAAAAACTGATACTGTGACTGTGAGCGGGGTCGCCTCTCCACAGATCTGACCTGGAACTGTGTCTGGTTTGGTCTTCGTGAAGATAGAAAGGTCCAGTGCCCTACAGAAAAGTTACACAATGCACCTTTAATTGGTACTTTCTTAAAATGCCCAAACCTGAAACTGAAAGTGTGGCCAGTGAAGAAACAGAAGCTCACAGTTTTTAAACTGTTTTTTATTCAAACTGTTCTCGTTTGAGGCCTAAAAACTCCAACGCGTTTCCAGCCAGAAGTTTGTCCTGGAACAAGAGAAGAAAATCTGTTCAAATGTAAAATCAGGTCAGAGGAACACAGAACAACATAGAGGAACACAGAGGAAAGCAAAGGAACACAGAGAAGGTGTCTCTGGAGATGTTCTGATTGGAGCAGACTGAGGTTCTTTTGGGTCTGGACAGTTCCCAGGTCAAAGCTGAAGAAGATTTAGGCCTCAGAGTGACCTTCAGACCCTCAGAGTGACCTTCAGACCCTCAGAGTGACCTTCAGACCCTCAGAGTGACCTTCAGACCCTCAGAGTGACCTTCAGACCCTCAGAGAGACCTTCAGACCTTCAGAGTGACCTTCAGACCCTCAGAGTGACCTTCAGACCCTCAGAGTGACCTTCAGACCTTCAGAGTGACCTTCAGACCCTCAGAGTGACCTTCAGACCCTCAGAGTGACCTTCAGACCCTCAGAGTGACCTTCAGACCTTCAGAGTGACCTTCAGACCTTCAGAGTGACCTTCAGACCCTCAGAGTGACCCTCACCTTGATGCTGGGCTGGAGGTCGGTCATGGACTCGATGAGAGCGCCCGGCTGAAGCTCACCCAGAGGAAACGGGTAATCTGTGCCCAACATCACCCGATCCTGAGGGACAAACACAGAGGGTCAGACCAGGACTAAACCAGGACTAAACCAGGACTGAACCAGGACTGAACCAGGACTGAACCAGAACTGAACCAGGACTGAACCAGGACTGAACCAGGTCTAGAGCAGGTCTAGAGCAGGTCTTGGGTACCTCTCCGATGACGTCGAGCAGCAGTCTGAGGGCTCGGGGGTCGTGGGTCAGGGAGTCGGTGTAGAAGGTTCCGCAGTATTTCAGGGGAGACTGGGGGTTGTCGCGGGCGCACAGGTCGGGTCTGACGTGGTGCCCATGAGCAATGCGCCCCACAGTGAAGGGGAACGCGCCGCCTGAAGAACAAACAAACAAACAAACAAACAGTCAAACGTTTGACTCGGAGCAGAATCTGAGCCACTTTAACTTCAGGTCAGTTTCAGTTTGAGAAGAAACGTCCAAAACTCCACGAAGTTTGAGCTGAAAAACTGAATCCCTCTGATGATGTCATCACAGGAAAAGACCAGAACACAGAGACTCAAGGCCCAAGGAAGGACTTATTCTGACCTTTAAACCCGGTCTAAACCTGGTCTAAACCTGGTCTAAACCTGGTCTGAAACTAGTCTAACTGGTTTTGGTTGGTCTTGGTCAGTTTTGGTTGGTCTTGGTCAGTTTTGGTTGGTCTTGGTTGGTTTTGGTTGGTTTTGGTTGGTCTTGGTCGGTCTTGGTTGGTCTTGGTTGGTCTTGGTTGGTCTTGGTCGGTCTTGATTGGTTTTGGTTGGTTTTGGTTGGTTTTGGTTGGTCTTGGTTGGTCTTGGTTGGTTTGGTTGGTCTTGGTTGGTCTTGATTGGTTTTGTTTGGTCTTGGTTGGTCTTGGTTGGTGTTGGTCGGTTTTGGTGGTTTTTTTTGTTAGTTTTTGTTGGTGTAAAAGCTTTAGTCGCACTTGGATCTGGACTAAATCAAATGGACTGAGACTCAAAAAAGAGCTGGTCTCGGTCCACTTGACTCTGCACCAAATACCAAACTTTGGGTCGGTCCAGACCAACTGTTCCAAAGCTCGACCCGCGGCCAAACGTGCTCCAAAGGAACCAGAACCGATTTACTGAGGCTCTGGAAGTTTCCCTGAAGCGGCTGAAGAGACTTAGACCTTTGATGAACGTCAGCGGGACCAGGTCTGAAAGGACCACGCTGGAGTCCAGATTCTACAGAAGAACTCTTTTAGTCCCTGGTGTGGACCAAATAATCAAACTAGTAATGTGAAAGCGTCTTTAGAAATGAACAAGTAAATAAAAGTTTCATGGTCGTACCTCCGTGAGCGAAACAAACTCTGAGTTTAGGAAATCGCTCAAAAACTCCTCCAAAGATCATGGAGCAGATCGCTGTGGTCGTCTCTGCAGGCATCCCTGAGAAGAAACGAGGAAGACGAGGAAGACAAGGAAACACAGGAATAAAAACAATATCAGTAGTAGTAGTAGTAGTAGAAGTACTAGTAGTAGTAGTAGTTGTACTTACCCACTAACCAGGGGAGCCAGTACTTGTTCATGCGTCCGTCCGTCTGCATGTCCCACGGGTGAACGAAGAGACAACAACCGAGCTCCTCTGCAGCCTGAAAGACCAGGACCAGACCAGGACTAAACCAGCACCAAACCAGGACTAAACCAGGACTAAACCAGCACCAAACCAGGACTAAACCAGGACTAAACCAGGACTAAACCAGGACTAAACCAGGTCTAAACCAGGTCTAAACCAGGATTAAAGTCTGAGACTTTATACGGAAAATAAATGTTGACCTTTGTTTTGCTTCAGGAGACACATCTGCTCAGTGCAGATGTTTGTCGTTTTGCCAATTCGTCGGGCGTCGTAAAATCTAAACGTGTTGTTGTCGTACGTAAATGAAACTCGAAATTTAACTTGATTGACACGTGGGCAGATGAGGAAGGTAGAACGTCTAAAGCTCAAATCTATTTGGACAGTCTGTGGGCAGCGGTGACGTCTGCATAGGCTCTAAATCTGTGTTTTTCAAGGTGAGGTCCATGTCCCCCAGGGGGCGCCAAAGAGCCACTGGGCCAGAGCCACACACACATGTCACCATGACATATGACACTGACACGCCCCTTTTTCCTCCGACACTGATATTCAGCAGCGGTTGGCGTCTCAGTGGTCGCGCAGTGGTCGTGTTGTGGGTGACGCGATGGTCGGCGTGGCGGCGGTCATGTCGTGGGTGTGACAGTGGTTGCCGTGGTGGCGGTCGGCACGGCGGTGTGGCGGTCGGTGTAGAGGTCGGCGCGGCAGTCGGCGTGGCGGTATGGCGGTCGGCGCGGCGGTCGGTGTGTCTGTGGTCAGTGTTGTTGTTTTAAACAGGACTTGATAAACGTCCCGGAGTCACTGACAGAAGATAAACATCAGCAGTAACAGTTTTCCCGATGGTTTTTTCGGACACATAAACATAATCAAAGACTTGAAGTTTGGACCTGACGTCGTATCTGAGACTCGAGTGGGAGACACCACACGGTGTCAGTCTGGTCCTCACAAGTCTGTTCACCTCGGCTCAGACTTTTTGTGGAACTGAGGCTGTGATTAACCTGGACTGGCCCAAATAAACCAGGGCCCAGGTCTAAACCAGGACTAAACCGGGTCTAGACCTGGTCTCAAGCCGGACTCACGGCGTAGAAGGGGTGCAGCTCGGGTGCGTTCAGGTCCCACTCGTTGATGTGCGTCCCGATCTGGAGTCCGGGGAAGTTCAGCTCTCGGACGCAGCGCCGCATCTCATCCACGGCAAGTCCCGGCTCCTGCAGCGGCACCGCCCCCAGCCCCACGAACCTGCCGGGACAGGACCGCACCTGCCGCTCCAACTCGTCATTCAGCAGCCGACACAGGTCCAGGCAGTCTGCAGGTCTGGCCTGTCACACAGAGAGTCAGATGCCCTCCCTGTGTGTCAGATGCCCTCCCTGTGTGTCAGGTGCCCTCCCTGTGTGTGTCAGGTGTGTCCCCGTGTGTGCAGTGTGTGGTCCCCCGTGTGTGTCCCCGTGTGGTGTCAGGTGTGTCAGGTGTGTCCCCGTGTGTGTCAGGTGCATCCCCGTGTGTGTCAGGTGCGTCCCCGTGTGTGTCAGGTGCGTCCCCCGTGTGTGTCAGGTGCCTTCCCCGTGTGTGTCAGGTGCGTCCCTATGTGTGTCAGGTGCATCCCCGTGTGTGTCAGGTGCGTCCCCGCGTGTGTCAGGTGCGTCCCCGCGTGTGTCAGGTGCATCCCCGTGTGTGTCAGGTGCAGTACCCGTGTGTGTCAGGTGCCTTCCCCGTGTGTGTCAGGTGCGTCCCCGTGTGTGTCAGGTGCGTCCCCGTGTGTGTGGTGTCGCCCCCGGTGTGTCAGGTGCGTCCCCGCGTGTGTCAGGTGCGTCCCCGCGTGTGTCAGGTGCAGTACCCGTGTGTGTCAGGTGCCTTCCCCGTGTGTGTCAGGTGCGTCCCCGTGTGTGTCAGGTGCGTCCCCGTGTGTGTCAGGTGCGTCCCTGTGTGTGTCAGGTGCGTCCCTGTGTGTGTCAGGTGCAGTACCCGTGTGTGTCAGGTGCCTTCCCCGTGTGTGTCAGGTGCGTCCCCGCGTGTGTCAGGTGCGTCCCCGCGTGTGTCAGGTGCGTCCCGTGTGTGTCAGGTGCAGTACCCGTGTGTGTCAGGTGCCTTCCCTGTGTGTGTCAGGTGCGTCCCCGTGTGTGTCAGGTGCGTCCCCGTGTGTGTCAGGTGCGTCCCTGTGTGTGTCAGGTGCTTCCCCGTGTGTGTCAGGTGCGTCCCCGCATGTGTCAGGTGCGTCCCCGCATGTCAGGTGCGTCCCCGCGTGTGTCAGGTGCGTCCCTATGTGTGTCAGGTGCGTCCCCGCGTGTGTCAGGTGCGTCCCCGTGTGTGTCAGGTGCAGTACCCGTATGTGTCAGGTGCCTTCCCCGTGTGTGTCAGGTGCGTCCCGTGTGTGTCAGGTGCGTCCCCGTGTGTGTGTCAGGTGCGTCCCGTGTGTGTCAGGTGCGTGTGTGTCAGTCCCGTGCGTGTGTCAGGTGCGTCCCCGCGTGTGTGGTCAGTGCAGTCCCGTGTGTGTCAGGTGCGTCCGGTGCAGTTGGTGCGTCCCCGTGTGTCGGTCCCCTGTGTGTCAGGTGCGTCCCCGTGTGTGTCCAGGTGCGTTCCCCTGTGTGTCAGTGCGTCCCGCGTGTGTCAGGTGCGTCCCGTGTGTGTCAGGTGCGTCCCCGTTGTGTGTCAGTGCGTCCCATGTGTGTCAGGTGCCTTCCCCGTGTGTGTCAGGTGCGTCCCCGTGTGTGTGTCAGGTGCGTCCCCGTGTGTGTGTGTGTGCGTCCCCGTGTGTGTCAGGTGCGTCCCCGTGTGTGTCAGTGTCAGGTGCGTCCCTGTGTGTGTCAGGTGCGTCTCCCTGTGTGTGTCAGGTGCGTCCCGTGTGTGTCAGGTGCGTCCCTGTGTGTGTCAGGTGCGTCCCTGTGTGGTGCGTCCCCGTGTGTCAGGTGCGTCCTTGTGTCAGTGTGTCCGGTGTGTCAGGTGCGTCCCCGTGTGTGTCAGGTGCGTCCCGTGTGTGTCAGGTGCGTCCCCTGTGTGTTCAGGTGCGTCCTGTGTGTGTCAGGTGCGTCCCTGTGTGTTCGTCAGTGTGTCAGGTGCGTCCCCGTGGTCAGGTGCGTCCCCGTGTGTGTCAGGTGCAGTCCCTGTGTGTCAGGTGCGTCCCCGCGTGTGTCAGGTGCGTCCCCGTGTGTGTCAGGTGCGTGTGTTCAGTGTCCAGGTGTGTGTGTCAGGTGCGTCCCCCGTGTGTCAGGTGCGTCCCCGTGTGTGTCAGGTGCGTCCCTGTGTGTGTCAGGTGCAGTACCCAGTAGTTGAACATGACAGGGACAGTGGACAGCGCCTGCACAGTGACTCCTGACGACAACAAACAAACAAAGTCAATTTATGTAGAAAAGTAGAAGGAAGAATAATAACAGTAGTAGTAGTAGTAGTAGTAGTAGTAGTAGTAGTGTAGTAGTAGTAGTAGTAGTAGTGTAGTAGTTAGTAGTAGTAGTAGTAGTAGTAGTAGTAGTAGTACAGTAGTAGTAGTAGTAAGTAAGTAGTAGTAGTAGTAGTAGTAGTAGTAGTAGTAGTAAGTAGTAGTAGTAGTAGTAGTAGTAGTAGTACTAGTAGTAGTAAGTAGTAGTAAGTAGTAGTAGTAGTAGTACTAGTAGTAGTAGTAGTAGTAGTAGTAGTAGTAGTAGTAGTAGTAGTAGTAGTAGTAGTACTGTAGTAGTAGTAGTAGTAGTAGTAGTAGTAGTAGTAGTAGTAGTAGTCTGTAGTAGTAGTAGTAGTAGTAGTAGCTGTAGTAGTAGTAGTAGTAGTACTGTAGTAGTAGTAGTAGTGTAGTAGTAGTAGTAGTAGTAGTAGTAGTACTGTAGTAGTAGTAGTAGTAGTAGTAGTAGTAGTAGTAGTAGTAGTAGTAGTAGTAGTAGTAG